TTATGCCTCTCTCTCGTTGGTGGGTGCTAATCCTCCATTCCATGTCTCACGACCTGTCTGTCGGCTCGTCGCGCTCCTTGCGAGAAGACCTGCAGATTTCCGATGCCTTCCGGCCGGATGAGCACCCGAAGCGCTGGGTCCAAAGACACGGACATGCCATAGGCGCGTCTGCTCATCAAATCCTAGCGGCCCGGTTGGGCTGCTTCGGTGCAAGTTGAAGGATTTGGAGAGGAACAAGCCCAGTCAGTGGATCATCACAGGTAATTATAGAGGTATCGGTATTATGAAGTATGTAATATTATGTATAGCAAAAGCATGCAAAAGCATGCAAGATATGCAAGTGCTCATTTTGAAGTGAATGCATACATTGCGGAGTATGTATAGAAATGGCAAAGAACTTTTGATACAAGACTCCTGCAGCCGTCGATCTTGCCATTGCTTCTGCAGAGCTTGGCCTTCTGTACCATCCTGCAAGTCAGCAGATTGTCCACCCATGAAACCTCATCGAAGAGAATCAAGCACTTGCTTTCTCCAACAAGTCCCCACTCCACTCCACTCCACTTCCTTCTTTTTCTTCCTTCATCATCTCGAACCCATAGCCTATCATGTCTACCAAACCTATCAGCCTGTCCCCCACCCAAATCCTCCCCCCCAATCCACCATGCAGCTGCCCGCTCCACCAGCCGGTGTACCGTACAGACCGACGGACCACGACGTGGTCCCGTCCACCGGTCCTCGATGGTGAACTGCAGCTCCCCGAGGCGCCGCTCCGTCTCGGAGGTCTTCACGTCGATGCCCTCGGCCCAGCTGGGCAAAAGCTTCTGCACCGACGTCTTGTAGGCCTGGCCGTCGCCGTCGCATCGTCGCCATATGTAGGGTGGAGGCCATGGCAATTAGAAACAAAGAAAAAAGAACAGGAAGAAAAGGAATCAAAAGAAAAGAACAGGCCGATAGTTAGTACCGATAGAGGGCAATAGTGATAGCAAATGGTGATGATAGCAAATGGCAAATAGCTGGCCACATGGGCAGGTGCATGCCGTTGGGCCAGCCATTTGCTTGCCTCTTGGGCCAGCCGTTTGGGTTTTCTTGCGACGTTGCAGGAACATTCAGTTCGACCACTCAGTGACTTCGGTCTCCGCTTCGGCACCGCGGACGGAGAGACCCGGCCTCCACCTCTAAGCGCAGCAAATCGAGCTTCTCCTGGATTCGGAGCGGCCCACCTGGCCGCGTCGGCTTAATGTCTGGATGACGTGGGCTTCATCGGCCTATACATGTTGGAAGCCATATCTCGGCAAATGAACGGGATCGGTCAACGATCAGTTTGCCATGCCATGAGCAGTCTGGATTTTCGCTATGCCAAACCCAATCAATCTCTGGCTATCAAAATCGTGATTGGACGGATGGACTCCTCGGCACATGTCACACGGAGTGCCCCCGGAGATCCCGAACGAACGTCGTCGCCTCGCTGCGTCATCTTCTTCACCAGCTTTCGATTCAGATTGTCCTCAGGCAACAAACAAACACGTGACACACACACAAACACAGGCCAAACACACCTTGAACACGAGGAAAGTGGGCACTTGGCGGCGTCGGCGAAACTATAGATACCTTTCCGGGTGATTTGGAGAAACAATTAAGTGTCGACATGACTTTGTATCATTCTGTTGAGCAATTAGAAACCTTCCCATTTGACACTCCCTACCCAAATCTGCGGCTTGATCCAAGCGTTTCCCTCCCAACAGAACCTCAGTTCCCCGGTGTCTACAGGGATCATATTACACCAAGCTGTTACACCCATAGAAAATCCACTCAGGAACTGCCTCCATCGATCCTTTGCATCTCAGCATCTAAGGCTTGGCGCTCTGCAATGACCCTCTGCAACTGAAAGATGTTGAGCACGTCCTAAGCGTAGCGTGATGCTGGGTGAGTCGATGCGGAAGCTCATTCAGTGTATGTGAGGCAAACACATCACCACTGACGACCCTTGGGCATGATTCGTCCGTGAATTGACCGTCCTTTTCAGGAACGCTTATTCACCAGTTGCCACTACCACCGTGGTCCCATAGTCCCAACCGCCCACCGCCGGGCATCGCCTTCCGGATGGCCTCCTGCAGCGCCTTCCGCTGCGCGTCGCAGCTTCCACCTGCGGCGTCGTCGAAGGCCGCCAGCGCCTTCTCCTCCGCCTGCATCGCTGCGTTGCCCAGGACGATGGGCCGCTGCGAGGTGCCTCGAACGGTGAGAACGGGATAAACACGCTTTCTCTCTGAAGGTCGAGTGGGACATGGGAAACGACCATGTCCATGGCTTGACTGGAAGTAGAGCCTGTTTGGGTTGATTCTCCATCTTAAATCGAACCATGTCAAATGAAGCTGCTCTTTCTTGGAAGTGTTCTTGTGAATCAACAGCAATTAGTCAAGTGTAGCAAACAAGTCAACTCTATATTTCGCCATTCCACGTGTTATTGATGGAATGAATTTCCAAAAAGTTATAACACATTCAAGACCAGTACAAGCGGTTCTCCTGCGCATTTGCATCCCAGTGACACGTCCTTTTCGACCTCACCACTGCAGCCCAGTGGCTTTCGGAAAGCCAATGTTGTCGTGCCTCTTCGAAGCGTTGTTGTCCGGCCGCCAGGGCCTCGTCACTTTCTGGCTGAGGGCGCTGGTGAGCTGAAAATGCTTCACTATGACATGGATCTAATGAACCAGGAACCTGATTCAGAATGTGAACTTAACATGAACGAAACAGGGTCATGCAGGAAGGTCTTCTAATTAGTCGACTCCTGGCCGTACTTGCCCTCGGTCGCCGTCACCGTCCGAAACGCACCTGGCCGCAGGCGCCGCTGCCGCCGCTGGCGACCTTTTGGCTTGCGGACTCTTCGGCGCGTGGGTCGCGGGTCACCACCTGAGGCGGCGCGTGGGCGGTTTCGGTGAGTCGGGAAAGTCTGGTCAACCACTTGGAACTCATCCATGAACCATGCCAGGTTCATGTTTATGCCATGACTTCCGTTTCACAGAATACGTTCTTTCACAACATGTTCACACCCACTGAGCAGAACTAACACCTGAGATGCCAAAAGCCCATGGCTCAAAAGTTGTGACCTGTTCTAAAGTTGTGTTCATACCCATTTTTTGCTTGGCCACCGCCGCCGGCGCAAGGGCCCACCAGGCCGCCGCCAGCGCGCCGAGCACAGCAGCGCCATGACGGCAGGGCCGCCGCGTCGACCGGTCCATGGGCAAAACTGGCCCCGGTCGGTGTCGGCCGTTGGGCTGTGCACGTCGTGGGCTGCGGAGATCACGATGCAAAATACGAAACACCGATGAGCCATAATATATAGTGGAAACCGCACATGGAAAGGCTTTTTCAGCTGAGGCGCTCAAGAACAGCCAAGTGCTAGCCGTTTGGTAGATTTTCTGACGTCCAGTTACATGACACCCGTTGCCCGTTGCTACCGAGAATAGACGTCGGCACTACCCATTTATACCAGCTGATAGTTGGGCAGTCGCGTGTGACTTGTATCCAGAATATGCTTTAAACAACAGAATTTGGCATGGTTTCTACCAGGCTTCACCTGTGTTCAACAAGGTCCAACCCAGTTGCTTCATTAGCAGAGGAGCAAGTCGAACAAGCCAACTTCTTCAGGTCCAACACACCGTGCGGAGGGACAAGATAAAACACGTAACAACATCGTAAAATACACTGAACATCACTGGAATACATACACTCCAACACCTGAATCCTGACGACAAGCACCCCCACAACTGGTATCTGGTCTCCGAAGACAAATACGGTGCCGCGGGCTGATTCCAGAACCCTCAGCGAACACGGTGAAAACCGCGCCACAGGACCTTCATCGGACGACGCTGCTTTTTGCTGCACCGATCGGACGCGCTGATTCGATGCAGGGAGGCTGCCGATGAGGCTGCAGATGGAAGACTCTCCGCTCTTCCAAAGAGAAGTCATTCCAAACTGGATTGGCAAATGCGAAAAAATGGTGCCATGCCATTCACATCCAATTTCAGTGGAATTCTTCATTGTGCATGCACCATGCGCTTGCAAGAAAAAGACTCAGGGACGTCATCCATCGTCCTTCATGTGGAGAAGAGACGTTCGGCGTAGGATCTGAGCGGAAGATGTTCGCCTGACCGGTCAGCGAAGTGGAGACTCTTAATAAAATCCCTCAAAAAACACATTCGAGAACCTCAATCCTATCCACACATATCCACACCTTTGATGTTCCAACATCTCTTGAAACGCATGAAAACGCTAATTACCCAGAACCACCTCCACCGAACCATCCGATCACCAAACATCAGCGGCCTCGGTCCTTCAGCGGCGTCGTGGCCCAGCGTGGCGGTGCGGCGAGGCTCGAGGCGGGGCTCAGGGTTTCCAGGGAAAGGCTTGGTTGTCGCGCCACCAGGGCGCTGAAGGTGCCGACCGCGGTGTCGTCGTCTCGTGGTCATGAAAGCGTTGCGTGGCCTCCAGCACCTCCTGGCGTCGCACGGAGGCGCTGATGCGGTGATGCGTGTTCTTGGAAAGCGATGTGTCGGTTGGAAGACGTGAGCCTCTTACAAGGGGGTTCCAAATCTCACAAACACGTCTTCCAGATGCCAAAATGCCAAACATGTTGCAGGCTTGGTGGCTCTTGCGGTTTCAGCAACTAAGCTTTCATCCGCGATCGAGTCGAAGCGTCCAACGATGTCCAACGTGTCACCCGTCACGTGTCACCGGTCGCGTCGTGACACGTGTCACGCGTCGTGCGGTAAGCGATGTGTCGCCCCTGGCAGACCAAGGCGCTTCTTTGAAACCAGGTGCTGGATGTGATCGGAAGCGAACACCTTTTCCTGTGGTTGGGGACGGGCAGTAGGACGATCCTTTTTGGGCACTTCTTCTACTTCATATGCTGTGGGTTTGGAGCTATCCCTTGCTATGGTTTCAATCAAACATACAAACGGGGTATGGAAATTACACGATATTCAAACCTAAACAGTAAACCTAAATTAACCTTCGGGATGACACACTTTTCCAACCTTCGGGATAGTCACATTCGACAATTGCCACTCAAAGGCTTTGCCGGTGTTCAATTCAGTGAAATCTGAATATTTCTGCCGCATATCTGCTGATCCTTCTGGGAGCAAACCCGAACAAGGCAGGTTGTTGAAGCCATCCTCCAAAGCATACTCAAACACCCAGCAGTTCAAACAACCTCTCAGCTCTTTTCTTTGTTCCAAGAAACGAAGAAGCTTCACGGCATTCCAATAAATCCGCAAAGCAGTGCGTTGAGGTTGAAAACCGTAGCGCCACAGCATCTGCAAGGAGCCTCCAAAGGCATGGCTTGCTTGAACTGAGGGTCTCACACACGCCATCCGATTAGATCAGACCAACCAGCCACTTGTGTTTAGAGAAAATCCTCCACAAACCGCGTCTATTACAAGGTCTTCTCTTGTGATCTCTTGTGATCCAAGACCGTCTCCACCAATCCAAGACAGTTGGTTTCAGCATGCTTTGGCCGGTTTGTTGCTCCACTGTGCCTGCATGCTCCGCTCGAGCTCGTAAGAAGCTGCTAGGCTGGAGCTGCAAATGTGCCCGAAAAAGCCTTGGAGGAATGACACAAAGCGGAAGAGTAGCGATGGCCTCCAACCTACAAGCAATCGAATAGCCATGGCCTCCGACCTACAAGCAATGGCCTCTTAAAAAGGGATTTGAATTTGTTTGTTCATGCAATTCCTTTTTGTTTGTCCACACTCTGTTGCAACTATTCCGTTCTCTTCTTTAACTTCCAGAGCAACGTGCGTTTTGCCTGAACAAAAAGTTGGGAATGTGCCGAAAGCTTGCTTCCAGCATGGCTGGCTTACCAGGCTGGATCTTGAGTCAACCCAAACACCACACTCTCAAGAATTTGTGTTCAAGAACAACGACGTAGGCTTAAGACCTGCCGAGAAACGGCTTGCTGGAGCTGCGGTCTAAGCCAGGCAAAACATCCACAAAGACTTCCTTATAGACAGTCAGAAAGTTCCAAACATGCCAAGCAAATGTCAAGCAGCCCAAAGCATTTGCTTGGGACATGCCTAGCTAGCAATTACCTGCACCAATGCTTTCCTTTCATTCGGCTGGACTACACTCGATCGGCACTACTCGTGGACGGAGCCGTCCGTGGGGACGGAGGGGATCGGGAGAAAGCACATCGTTCAGTCCCACATCGGAGATCCGTTCATGTTCCTGGACCTTTCTTTTTGTTCAAAAGTCCCACATCGGAACGCAACACATCGGAGATCAACACCACTTTTGCTGTTTTTAGTGCGAAGTACTGAAAGGACACCAACAAAAAGGAACCAACACATGGGATCATTCATCGGATCATCATTGCAACTTCTCCATGCACCAGACTTGAGGAACTCCAATCTGAAGCCACAGGAAACTAATCCGTTTGGTCCTGAGATTCCAAGGGATTGCTCGAAGGAGCTGAGGCTTTCAGGTGCCAGCGATGCTTGATGTCCATCAGCGGGGAGACGTGCAGAGGCTTGGGCCGCCTTTGGACACGGCCGAAGCGGCGGAAACCGACGCTCCGGTGAGACATGTGGCGAAGAGGTGCCAGGGCTTTTTCGTTTGGTGGGAAAGGCATGTGTGTTTCAACACGTAGAGCATAGACCAAACTGTCCGAGGGCGATTTTGGAGTCGATCCAGTATATAGGGATGGTCCAGCTAAAGTAATGACCACGAACTCAGACGCAAAACTGGTTGTGATTCTGTACTTACATGCGATTCCTTTACAGGCAGCCAACTGCACCAATGTGCAGCCCAAACTGCACACGCAGAACCCGTGCGCATACCCAGCTGACCGGGGAAACCAAATCTTCCAAACGCCAAATCCCAGCTGCTCATCGCCCTTGAGGTCAAAGACAAAGAACACATGATGGTTCCACGGCCTCGGAACGCGGGATGCAGAAGCACACGACGTCGAACAGCAGATTCACCCAGATTTCATCAAGCGACGTGTAAATTAAGTTAGGCACGGATGGCTTTTTGTTCCAGCAGGAAACACCATCACAGGACTTAAGGTACAGCAACTGGATCACGAGGGGGCATGAAAGTGGTGCAATAAACATGATGAAAGGACGGTACTGTCATTTCATGAAGTTTTCTAACAGCCGAGGTGCGTATTGGTCACTTCACACACTCCACGCTTGTATTCACCCTGATCTTCGCAGAAGTAGATTTGAATCGGATTTTGATGATACCTGGCGAGGGTCGGGTCCCCTTTGGTCCCGTTTGGTCCGAGTGTCCAACCTGTTTGGAACCCACGGAGTCCAAGAAAAGTGAGTCGAGCACATCAAACACCGTGGTAAACTCCATACGACATGCAGATGAGGCAAACAACACTTGTTGATTTTTCGCTGGAGTCCGCGATCAATGAGGAAACATCAGCTCCATTCCTTAACCTAGATTTCCCAAAACTGAAGAAACGCCAGGAACAAGCTAGACTTACAATTAGTTGCCTTCATTTTCCTAAACTCCAAACTCCAGGCCATCGCTACTATAAGTGGTGGAGGCCATCGCTACTAGCAACTATAAGAAGCTACTATTTAGTAACAAGGGCATGACCTATGCTATAGTAGCTTAGTTACTATATCTACATAGCTATGCTAGTAAACTACTCCAACCAAGTACCTATATAGAAGTTACTATAGATTGGAGTCCATCTCTCCTTCCGCCGTGTGGCTCCGCTGCCGCCGGCGTGGTGAGGAGCTTCACCGAGCCTGTGGTCCCTGCGGCGGTCCGAGCCTCCTGGTGGGTGAGGTGGGCCCCCGCGCAATGCAGCGGAAGAAATCGAACACATATATTACTAGACTGAATTACTAGTAGTGCTATACTACATACAGTACTTACTAGACTACTTAACTATAACGGTATATAACTACAATAGTGATCCCCAAATAGATAGTGGCACGGTTTCTTAATATATGTTTAGTGTGGATCTACTTTTGATCTATTTGGGGGTCTCTATATATAGATCTACTGAATGAATAATACCGAATCGATTAAAAAACGCACAAATGACATGTACATCAGCATCACACAAACAAGATTTCAGTTCGTTTGAAATGGTGCCACGTTCTATATATAATGACAACAGCCAGTTTCTGTCTGTTGCCCTTTTTCGCACCTCCAAGTGTTTCCATCATGTGAGACAAGCATCTGAATGAGTCCTGCAGTACTGATTGATGGAACAACTTCGAACAAACCATCACCTCCACGCCAACGCTCCTCTGCCGTGAGACGCTGAATGGGTTCCAAGGCCCACCAGTGGGGCGGATGGTCCAAATCGACCAGGGCCATTCCTGGGCGTGGCGACGACGCCGGACGCGTTCCGCACCATCCGAAGCGCAGCGAGCGACGGAACCAAACGGGGAGGACCGGGAACCGGTCCCAATCCTCGGCGAACGGCCAATTCGGTTTGGGTTGACGTAGATGTTTTATTTTGAGGGGATCTGAAGCATAGCTTGGGCTTGAGAACACAAACACAATATAACTATGAATCAATCATTGTCGAAGGTTGAAACACACTGACTGATGGAGTGCTCCCCCTGCGAACCTTTTTGGCTAAACTCGATCTATAGCCATTGAGAACATATTTTCTTTCTGTCTTGCATCTGGGCTGCGTACGTCGTAACGGAAGGCATGGGATGCTTCATGCGTCCGCGCATGGGACACCCATCCTTCCAGAAATTCCACGCCACTGCATTGCTCCGTAGCGCCAAAGGCTGACCGGAGCAGGGCCAGCAAGAAGGACAGGCAGGTCCAGGTGCTATGGACAAAAATGGCTGTCAGAAGCTTTGCGCCTTGGCATGCTGACAAGGCTTTCTTCCGCAACTTGGTCAACATCTTGAGCCAGAATCACTACTCGTTCACCACGCAGTGAACACTCCTACAATCATCATGAATTCAATCTTCAAATATCCTCCACGGGGCACGGGCATCAACAAAAAGTAGATCCACCATGGGACATGTCCCTCTCGCAGTCTGGACCACGCTCTTTCCACACCTCTCGCTCGATGCGAAACGCCTCCTCTCAGGGCGGGCCCGGCCCTGGCGACACTCGGCCGACTTCCGGCCACGACTTCGGAGCGAAACGTTCCACACCACGTGTCAGCGCCATGGGAATCGAACGAACAACTAACATCTCAAACAACTAACATCTCATTCAATTGTCTCATGCATGGAACTCTGGAAAAATCTGGAACATGACCCGAAAAAATGGGAAACGGTTCCTTCTCCTTTGACCCAACCCCCCTTCAGCACCCCGGAGCCTCGGAAACGGGACGGCGCCTGGCCCAACACAGAATGCCGTTTGCTTCAAGGAATGGCAGCACAGTTTGTGTCAAAAGGGTCTATGTTTTGATTCTCAATCAACTATACTCACTTATAGTGAGAACATGTGAGAACTGTTGATGTTGATGTTTACACTTGATCCTTGGTCGGACCTATATTGCTTGCAACAAACCTGACTTTCAATCAGGAGGGTCCACAGGACCTTTGGTGCTGCCGTGCCGGAAGCTTCTTTTGCACGATTGCAAGGGTTGAATTCTGCATCTCCATCAGCAGCAGGCTGGGTGAGACGTTCTCAATTGATCGGCATCTTGGAATAGACCTGAACCCTCAAGAGCCGCACATATGGAGAAAACGTTGCCAGCACAAGGGCTATCGATGTCCATTTCCTTGGATGAAGAGGTTTTTTTGCCTCTGCAGGGTGTTCATTAGCATTGCCAGACTTGCGCAAAAGATTGGATCGGTCGATCAAAACCCCTCCGACCACGAGCCATTCACCAAACCTGAGAAAATTCACCATCCGAGAAAGCATGACGAGTCGCTGTGGACTGTCCCTGTCCATGATTGTCACGGCAAACTGGTGCAACACGGTGGTTCAACAGGGGGGGGTTTGCCCCGACGGCAAGCAAAGCTTTCCGACCAGTGAACAGGGTTTACCCAACATGGTGCCACCAAGTGTCAGCCAGGGCCGCCGGGTTCCCCCGAACGGGCCGACCGCCGTGGACGGTGACGGCGCCTTAGAGGAACCGCGCTTGTTTGGCCGAAACCTCTGCAGAGTCGGCCACGCTGAGCTTCTTCTCCAAGTCCTGCGGGTGTTTTTGGGTGAGAAGCCATGCAGTTCATACCAACAAGACACTCAGAACGTCTACTATTGGGTAGTCGCGGCCATGAGATCAGGAATGGAAATAATTAGACGCCACAATCAATCCAATGATAGAGAATTATATGGCACATTGATGGCATTGATGCCCTGTTTGATTGTAGAGGACTATGACAAGGTGAACAGAACAACATATGATAGGCATGTATAGGAATTTTGGATACCAGTGTTGTATTCGTTGAATGAGACGTAGTTTGTATATCCCATGGGATTGTTATTCACATTGCTGTGCAAACAGCCATATAACATCATAACTGTGAGATGACCCCATGTCCAACCGGTATGAGACATCATGACCCCAGTCCTACCCTGAAAAAACATCATTTATCATATATTACTTGAGGCCGAGGGTAGGTGACGAAAGCTAGCAGGGGTGCATCCGGACTGGTGGGACATCAAGCGGTGTGAGGCAAATGCTCATGAGGTAAAACGTTGTGAACATGTAAGACACACAAACAGCAATGACACAGCCAACCTTCGAATTGAAGTCCCCGACAATTAAGGAAGCGTGGCTGGACTTTGCCACACTGTTCGATGCATCCGATGTGTTCACGAACCTGTGAGCTTGTTGAATCTGTTGCACCGTATCCCAAAACCTCCACGGAGGAGTTGAACCAGTGATGCCATAAGAGGTGCCCAAGAGGTGTCCCAGAGGCAAAACAAAGCTGCTTGCATGATTCGTTTGGTTTCTTCTATCGATGTCGATGTCATGAACATGTGAGCTTGTTGAATCTGTTGCACCGTATCCCGGAGGAGTTAAGCCAAAGTGGATGCCATAAGAGATGCCCGAGAGGTGTCCCAGAGGCGTCCGAGGGGGGAGTTGAACCCACGGGGGGGGGGGGGGGGGGGGGGGGGGGGGCCCCCCCTACATATGAAGTTTTCACGTGATGCGGCGATCCCGAGGATTCCAGCCCCTCACTTGCTAAAGCAAGGACAACTCCAGCTAGCTGGTGCTAGCTTTCGTGATCAGTGTCAGTTAAAAGTGGATCCGAACAAACCACAAGTCGTGGGTGACGTGTTCTGGGCAACGAAAGGAACGAAGCGGCGACGACCGGCACGGCGGCGATGCCCGCGGCCACCTGTTGGAGCCTCAAGGCCAGCGCTTCTTGGGAATCGGGTCGCAGCAGGGAGAGCAGCAGCTGCAGCACGGGCAGCGCCAACGCCAGGCGCGAAAGCCACCGCCAAACTCGAAAGGAAAAGCCCACGGCCGCCAGAGCTAAGCCTGACCCATCAGGTGGCCGGGACTTTAGCATCTCAGGTGGATCTTGGTGCCTGTTTCGACCCCCCTTCCTCCCTTCCTTGTCTCCAGACTCAAATGGAACACTGCATGACCATGACTACATGGTGTGGAAATCCAAAACGCATATGCCAGAAGTTAACCCAAACTCGGCCAACATCATCCGGAACACACGCAATCAAACCTCTGCAACCTGGGAATGATCATGAATGATCTTTCCCCACTCAGGGTTGAAGAAACTTGGAAACTAGACGACGAGTGGCCCGAAAGCATTTTTCATCACGTAGGAAATCAGAGTGCGAGTTATCCGGTAAGTGTGTAGTGAGAAGTGTTAAGTCGAGTGAGTTGAGGTAGTGTGTGGGTTTCTGTGCGTGTGTCTATGTCCGTGTGGAAACGGGTCTGCGTATGTGTGTGTTCGTGGAAGTTGAGGGAGTGTGTGGGTGTTTGTGTGCGATGCGGCCTCC